TTTGTCTGCGTTTAGCTGAAGGAAGTTGTTTTGCATCCACTCACTGATCTGTTGGATACAGTGAAGGAGTGAGTCCACTGGTCCATGTTCTCCTGCAGTCAGTGAGACATAGATCTGAGTGTCGTCTGCATAGTTGTGATAGGACACTTTGTTTCTGCGTATTAACTGACCTAACGGCAGCATGTAGAGATTGAACAGAAGAGGTCCCAGGATCGACCCCTGTGGTACTCCACAGGCAGGCCCGTCGCAAGGGGAGTGCGAGACCCTGTGCGAACTTGAAATGCGAGGCCCTACCCTGACACTTTTTTCCTAGATCTGAGGAAAGTTTTTCCTGTTATAATCTTTGACACGAATTCAGCACCACCTCGCGAGGTGCGTGAAGAGAGCGTGTCCTCGCTCCAACGCAGTGTCGGGCGCAAGCACGCAAACACACGCACCCGCACACACACACTGTTACGGCACTTGGCATTGGGATATTGGACGCGGTCTTTTTAGCTGACATGGCTCTTTCGTCCTGTGGCAAAATGGAATAGCAACTCAAAAGATTGAACCAAAAGAAGTCTTCGTCTTCTTGGACTAATAGTTAGATTATGGCAAAATGCGCCAAAATGGCTATGAGGCGGAGTCAATATTTGTTGAATTTTTTATCTCATCAAATCACGTTTTTGCCATGCCTCCACACACTGACAACAACAAACGCTCCTTCTCCTCCTTCTCCTCCTTCTCCTCCTCCTCTTCCTCCTCCACACACTCTGACCACAACAAGGCGTTTTATGCCCAAAATCCACTGCACTCGCAGTGGGCGCTAAAGCTGGGCATACAGTGTTTGCTAAGGCTTTTATAATATGTTTTTGACGTGGACATTCGGACTAAACATTGGCAATAACAGCGCTCACACACCAGGTCAGGGCCATATGATCTGAGACACAGTTTCCAATCTCCACAAAGTACTTCCTGTCTTCAAGGTAAGACCTAAACCAACTTAGGGCGGTGCCAGGACACCAACCCAGAACCATAAAAGAAAAAAGATCCATACAAGTTCCGGTGATGATTCTCGACACGTTGTAAGGACTCATCATTATAGGATATTCAATGCTATAATTTTACAATTAATCAATTCAACTTTACTTTACTTTACATCCCTGTTCTCCTGTGTATCTATGGTTTGGTGGGAAAGAAAGTAGTCATTTAGTAATCGATCAAATGCTTTTGTAAATATACTCCAGAGAAAAGGCTTAGTGACAGCTGCAGGTTCAGTACATGTGTGAATCTTTTGTATATAAAACCTAATCACTGGCCTGTGTTCTAAACAAATAAAGGATGAGCCAATGGTAAAATCCTCCGTTGAACTACAGATCATTGTAGTATATAATATTACTTTCTGATGCATTCTCACACCATTTGATGTCATTTAGATTGATAGTGACGGGTCTACATTTTAGCCATTTTCTTACATTTTGTGCGTGTGTGTGCGTGCGCGTGCGTGCAGGAGATGTGGTGAGTGAGAGTCCCGCCCCTAAAGCCCGTGCTCCAGTGCTCTGTGCTGTTCCTCATCTTGTCCCAAAGAGCACATGGCAGTTCACGTGTGACACACTCAAAAAGCCTCTATTCGCAAAGAGGAGATTCCAAATCATGATATTGAGCGTGTCCCTGAAAACACAGGCTGTGACGGCCGCCCTCCCCCGCAGCTCATTCATGCAGAGCAGACCTGTTATGTAACAGTGCGCCCCATGGTCATGGAGCAGACTGCACACGTCCTTACGTCAACTCTCTGCACTGCTGTCCGAGATACACCCGTGTATGTGTACAGTCTGAACACAACCATCTCTCACTCGCTGATCTGCAGGAACTGTACGACATCACACTAAACTTTTCCGCCTTGGAATTTTCTTTGTAATGACAAGATAAGATAAGATGTGCTTTATTTATTCTTCCCAATCCCAATCCCAATTCCAATTCTTCCCAATCGTGAATTGATTGTCATTTTTGAAGTCAGTTGATTTAACTGATAACGTCACTGATTCATAGGATTTACATCTTCAGATTCTCTTGAGACTTATCGCTAATTGAATAATTAAGGTCTCATGTAATTACTGAATCAATTAATAAGCCGAGGAATGGATAATGTGACATTGTTATCAGTTGTGATTTATTCACTGGTGCCCCGAATTAAAACTATTATCAATCAATCTACATCGTTTTGTTTGGTCCAATTCTTCGATATCAAAGAGAGTGTGTGTGAGATCAACTTCAAAACCTGAAACCATGCAGCCCTGCGGCCCCTACACCCGTCACTGTGTGAGACTTTCCACTTGAAACGATGTGGAACACATCCAAACAAAACAAATAAAAAGATCATTCTAAAAGTACATGATAAAATATGTTTATCGTTGGACAGCACCTGAAGGGTTAAAACATTTGCGGAGAGCATCTTTAAAGCACAGCCTTTTGTTTCTGTCGAGGCCTTCAACACAGGACGTGGAGATGGTTTAATCTAAAACACTGCCAGTGCACTGCTGCCCCGCGACCCCCACCCCCCGACTCACCTCAAAACTTGATTTTGATTGTCATAATCTTTTAATGTCTGGGCCAAAAGTAGAATTTTAATTAAAATATATTATATTTTTTTGTTATCAGACTCTTCTCCAAACATTATTTAACAATTCGTCTAATTGAACCAAATCAATTTCAACACAAATGGGCTAAATATTTGTTCCACTTATTTTGTTGTTGTGGAAATCATCTTGTGACCCCAACTTTAGGAACCACTGCTATAGCTACCATCCATTTCTACCCTTATCATTCGGTCAGGGGGTGCAATCAGATGCACCAAGTCCTAGCACAGCCTCACTGACCTCAGGTGGATCCACAGGAGGCTGCTCCTGAGTGAGAGCTTGACTTCAGGGAGTTGGCAACGTGGTTAGTTATTGCCAGGACACACAGCATCATGGAGTGATGAGAGGCAGGTGGATGAACCACGACTTGGCTAGCCAAGCTACAAGCACTGTCGCCCTGTAGCTACCGTTCCTATATCTAACCACCAGTCATATCTAAGCTACCAGTTACTTTATTGCCACCGATAGACAACTCTAAAAGTGATGTTGAAACAGACTACTAGATGAACTAATGGCGACTATGGACGGACACATAGCATACATTTTCACAGCCTAATAGCGCATTACACCCATCACAAATAGGTCAAAATATGTGGTAATAGCGACCTCTAGCGGTTATTTACTCTCAATGCCTGGTGAGGACAGAAAAGGCAACAAGCTCGTTTACTAATTGGAGTGATGTACATTTTAATATCACTTTAGACAGACTACTCGCAGCAAAAAAACGTTAGTCTAATCCTTTTCCATGTTTTGCACTGGACAACGACCATGAGGTACAGTTATACTGTAATGCTACAGATGATACATTAAAAGTCATTATATGCACTTAAATACTCACATTATGTATTTATTATTCAGTGAAAGTATGAAAAGGCAATGACAATCATTGTGTCTTTATATAAAGTGCACTTCACTTATGATGATACACAGAGAAATACAAGAACACTTTACGCAATATGACTTTTCCACACCTGAGTAATGCACATATAATATTTAAGATGTCCACAACAGTAGAAGTAACAGGTACATACTCATACCCCAGTGGTTTACAAGAGCACGTGTAGCAGTACAACCAAAGCAGTAAAGACAGTACAAATATGTAAAATGTGTACACTGAAAAGTACATTAGAAAAATACTTATAATTAATAACATTTAGGCAGTCTAAACAGCATTTTATGTTACAAAAATACGATATTACTTAATTTGAATGAAAAGCTCATCCTATCGTCATGGCTAAAAGTAGACGAAACGAGAAACGATCACAGTTTGGCAGTGTTGGCCGGACTGAGGTCAAGATCAACAACACACTCCATCAAGCGTACATTGTGACTTTAAGCAAATGTATATTCACAATCAACACAAACCACCACAAGCATCACAGGACAAAAGCTTTGGGGCTTTAGATTACATTACTGTCCATGTCCATCAATGTGATTATCATAGTGCACTTTTACACAAATGGAAAAAATAAAATCTGTGCATACGCTGTTAAGAAATACAGTGGCAAAGAAAAAAACATCCATCACTATTATCACTCAAGCAAAAGTATATGAAGCGGTAATTTATAACTTCATAATTAGGCTTTCAACAAAAGCTAAAGAGAAAACATTAAATGGAAACTGGAACAATATCTCTAAAATTTACCGGTCGATCTACGTTCCCTCCCTCACTTATGGTCATGAGCTTTGGGTAATGACCGAAAGAACGAGATCGCGGATACAAGCGGTCAAAATGACTTTCCTCCGCAGAGTGGCTGGGCGCTCCCTTAGAGATAGGGTGAGGAGCTCAAATGCACAGGAGGAGCTCGGAGTAGAGTTGCTGCTTCTCCACATCAAGAGGAGAAAGTTGAGGCTCAAGCATCTGTTTCGGATGCCTCCTGGACGTGGAGGTGACCAGGGAAGACCCAAGACAGTTGTCCTGGGAACGCCCCAAAGAAGAAGTGAGTGCGGAATGGCGAAGTCTGGGTGTCTCTACTTGGACTGCTGCTACGTGACACGGTAATGGATGAAGCGGCAGAAAAGGTATGGATTGAAAACATCTCACTGACATAAGCTGCCCTTAACTTTGGGAAAACACACTATCCCTACATCCAAATCAGTAAAAATATCCTTTCTTGCCCGTCCTTCTCATATTTATTGTGTTATAATACCTTAAAGGTGTCTCCTAAAAAGACAAATCTAAACCATAAGGAGGGACAAAGAAGGAGGTGTTTTTGCTGAATTCCAGATGCAACCTGTGTCAAAGTGAGCCTGCTGCTCTAAGACCAGATCTGCTTCCTGCTCCTTTGTGGATCCACAAAAACCTGAAGACTTTCATAAACCTGTAGATCCACATAAAACGGTAGACGCAGCTGACAAAGTGTTGTGCCCTCAAGTCTCTGTCCGTCAGTTCATCGTCTCCAGGTCCCCCGCCGCCAGCCGCTGGTTCAAAGCACAGAGCTGCCGCAAGAATCCGTCGTTGGGGCCAATCTCCCGTTTGTGTCGCACCGTGGCCAGAGCCGTGTGCACGTCCATGTTCTGCCGCAGCATCAGGTAGGCGATCACCAGAGTGGGCGAGCGGCTGTAGCCCTCGCGACAGTGGACGTACACCTTTCCTATGGGGATGGAGCAAGGGTTTAAACATGTAATTACCACATGTACATAACATGTGGTAATAACATGTTTCATGAAGCTGTTTGTCATACTCAAAACTGCCAATTCACCTTTGCCATTTTTATAGGCCAGTGCTGAAGCGATGAAGTCAGCCGCCTCCTGGAAGAAGACGCTGAGGTCAAAGTGGTCGGTGTCGCTGGCGGGGATGCCGTGGTACGTGATGCCCGAGCCGCTGTAGAAGTCTGCGCTGGTGTTGACGTGCATGAAGGAGTTCCCCTCGGCTGCGTTCAGGATGTGTGTGATGCCCAGACGCTTCAAACGCAACACATTTGTCGCCACAAATCTAGAGGAAAAAACATCTTTGAAACTGGTCTGTTTTGAAATTGGAGCTTCGTCCAACTAATTTTCAAATAGTATTTTGTTTGTTCTAGGTTATTTTGAAATAAAAATACCAGTTTGAAATAATTACATAAAGATATTTATTTGAATGAAAATTGTAAAAAAATAAAATTATATTTAGGTTTGATGATCTGATTTATAGTTTTACTTCCTGGTTGTAGAGGAAGACATCTTGTATATTGGTCCATATCCACTCTAATGTAAGTTTAATTATGATTTGACAATAGATCTTCATAGAATATCAAGATCTATAGTATATGTTTTTGTTAAGTAGAAACCACCATGTGATTCAATGTGTTGTAACCTGAATGAATAAACCTTCTGTGAGGTAATTAGTTCTACTCAGATTAAGTCTCAAATTAAGTTCTATTCAAAATAGGTGTCATTCCCAATAAAGATTGTGCAAAGATGCAGATGCACTAACTTACTTTCCCACAGTAGGGCACTTATAATGGAGAAATGCACAATATTTACTGATGGCTCTGTGGAGAGGTGACACATACCACAGTGAGTCAGAATGCAAGTTGCAGGTATTCATAAGCAGTACCGTCTCCATGGAGACAGAAATGCGCCATCATCCAAAGCAGCAGTCACTGTGTGGGGGTGATGCTCCCAAATCTGTCTGTTCTAAATATAGAACTGGAGCTGTCTGTCGCATCATTCTGCTCATGTTCAGGCGTTCATCCGCCTCTATGTCCCTCTTCTGTTTAGTTTTCAAACACATCAAACACAGAGAAGATGCATTCCGGATATGAAGACGATGATGCAACACTTGGCCTGTCCTAATTCTGAAAGCTAAAAATAGCAACAGCATGGTCCCACCTCATGCAAGAAAACCAGGACAGAGAGGAACTAGGAATTGTGGGTTGAAAGTGATAATTAGCAGATACATAGATAATTAAACAAAACATACTGTTTTGCAATTTTGTTTCTCATGATAGGTTAATTAAAAATTATGTATTTTGTCATTGTAATTATAATTACAGAGACAGAGAAGCCCACAAAACCAAGGCAGAATGCTTCACTTTCACTTTTTCCTCCTGAAAGGGAATTCTTACTGTATCAGGTAGAGCCAATTATTATTATCATATTATTATATGCATACAATAAAAACAATGATTTCATTATTATTATTGATATATAAATTATTAACTTCGTCATCATCATCATTATTATTTCTAATATCTATATTATTGTTATTATTGAGCCTTGAGACAGGACAGAGCAGTGATATTCTGAATGCTAATGTGACTTCGTGATGGTTGTGTGTGTGATTTTAAAACATGTGCATGTGAAGTAATATGGAGACATTATATTCAGATACAGAGGGTCTACTTTCTGCCTCCGCGCATCTAGACTGTTCCATGACCGCGCAGACCTCTGATGTTTGATAACAAAAGAGCATGTCGTGACCATTAGCATAATGTAACAAGTTTGTCCATGTGATATCGACATATACGCTATGGAAAACGAAACGCTAAGTGAATAGGATTGAAAGAGTGTTCAAATGTGACTCACGCGTTGCCCACGTAGATCCTGGGGTAGACCTGGTGGCAGTGCTCTGTGGGCCAGCTGTACAGACCGCTGTCGTCTGTTAACAGGTCGTTGAGCTGCTGCAGACTCACTTCAAAGCTCATGTCCGCGGCTTTCTTCTGCTCCAGCTTCTTCTTGTTCTTCATGTCCCGAATGAAAGGCCGGAGAAGGCAGGATACGAGCCGCTGGAGGTGGCGGGCAGGTGTCGGCTTACCGCGAACTCTCACGTCCATGAGCAGGAGTCACTGCTGTTACTGCTGCTGCTGTCACTACTGCTGCTGCTGCTGCTGCTGCTCCTCACGGAGCTCCAGCAGCAGGGGCGGACCACAGAGCGGACAGGCGGCGGGGGACCCACGAGGGGGTCCCGCGTTATCTAAGGTTTCAGGTAATCTAACCATAGACTGTATATATTCATCTAACCCAAGAGAGAAGATGCACTGCTTGCTATAGCTGCTATAAGCTTCCCAATTATTTAGACCCTGCTCTAAATAGGATTAGGACCAGGCTCATGTTCTTTTTTTGCAACATATTTTTATTAGTTTTAATTTTAACAAAACAAAAACAACATTTAAAGTGTAAAGTGCAAATTTTGCAGGTAGCCATCAACCAAGCATCTTCACTTGCTGTTGGAACATTGCTTTTGATCTAGTACAGAAAAGACTAATGGAAATTAAATGAATGGATAATGTATTGTGTATCATTCACCCAGTGCTGAAAAGTCCTGTTGACTTTGAGGACAGCTTGACCTGTTTCTTCCAGCAACCTCAACAATCACAGCATTTATTAATTCACTTCCTAATTATCTTATTGCTTTCAATGGACACAGTTAAATCTAATAATTTTACTATATATATATTCACAGGTGAAGATTCTTGTTAGATGACGGTAAACAAACAGTGCTGACTGTGCAGAAATCAAAGCATTGTTGAACTTTTCAACAGAGGTCAGGCCGCATCCGGCCGGATCGGCAACGCAAGACTTTGAGGAAGCTGTCAATCTTGTCAGAATCGCGGCGGAAGCAGTTCAACTGGAATTGTAGGTTAATGAGTTTGGAGATCTTGTCTCCCGGGTCATTCCTGTAAAACGGTAAAATGGAGACGACTTGTGCTGCTGGACCCATCTAGAGAAGGGAGATCAGAAACACATCACTTTCATACTCAGGTTGGAGTGAATTATAGTGCATTTAAAATTTTGGAATTCTAACTTGTATCATGTTATCTTGAAAGATAATATTTAAAAACTAAGTTTCAGATATATTAATATCTATTAATAATATTTATACATATCTAAATATTTATTTTGCAGGAATCAGTTAGGAACAAAGTTAAAACACATTTTACAGGAAGCAAAACCAGGAAGTTCCATGATGGCATCACACAATGTGTGAACAACTACTATACTAACAACAAATATTTGTTTACATAATGTTTTGTTATTTTAAGAGTCATGGTCCTGTGCATTTAGAAGGGATTGTACAAGTAAAAAGCTGAAATGAAAAAATAAAAAAACTGGAATCATATTTCCCAAATTTGAAGCAAAATGTTTTTGTGATTAGCAAAGAAGCTGAACCTGTCATACAGACTTGAAGTTTGCATTGATCTTTCTCACCCTGGCGGACAGAATGTCCAGGCCGTGTCTCAGAGACTTGGAGTTCTGCTGGAGTTGCTGGATCTTGTTGAAGATGCTGCTGTGCGCCGGGTGAGGCAGCGTGTTGGCGCTCGCAGACAGGAACGCCAGAGGTTCTGCCCAGGACTGCAGCAGGGACCGCAGCAGCGACATCAGGGTGTGCTCCTACAGAGAAAACACATCAAGACAAGGCAAGTTTAGTTGTATAGCACATTTCATAAGGCAACTTAAAGGGCTTAACAAAAAACATAAAAATTATACAAAGCATTCAATCAGAAATAATCATATTACATTCAGTTGTTTGCACGGCGAAACGGAACTGTTTTAACCTGGAGTCGAACATTGTCCGAGTAGAAGGTCACTGTTACAGATTGCCTTAGATTCTGAGGTCTGACAGGATCTGACTTTCACATGCCGGTGAATTGTTCCACATTTTGAAACATTTTAGTTACTAATTCTATCAAATACAGACGTTTTCCTGATTGTATTTGTGAAATAATAATTTGATTAATGTCTTGTATTAAAATTATTAATTTTTATTTATTAATTATTAATTATTTATTAGGGGCGACATTAGCTCAGTTGGTAGAGCATTGGCCATAAGGCCAGAAGGTCGTGGGTTCAATTCCTCCTTGGGCAAGACACTTTACCCCACTTGGCCCAAAGCCCCCACTGAAAGATCAAGGCTATGATCACACTCAGAGAGCAGCCGTCCTCCTGTGGACTCACCACCTGCAGAGGGTCAGTGAGGGGCTGGTGCTATGAGACTTGGGTGGCATCTCTGACTGCCACCCCCCTGACCCAGAAATGGATTAAAGGGTAGAAAATGGATGGATGGATGGATGTCTTTTATTAATTTACTTCCCAATAGGCCTACACTCATTTGATCTTTCCTGTGGAAAGATCAAATGACATATTTTTTTCAGAGAATGCAAAAACAAATGGTTACTGCTGGAGGATCACAGAGATTTCCCAAAGCATATAAGTGAAAACTGTCCACTTGCTGCAAACATAATAATAACATAACAATTTTCAGGTAGTGTGACTAGAATATTTGTATTTCATATGTATTTTAAATCAGAAGAAAAGATCACTCACAGACACCTGCAGAGCCTGCACTTTGTCAGTGGGACCTTCCAGGGTGGACGTGTGGCATTGGGACGGCTGAGGAGTGGTGCCCTGCTCCATGAAAGGAAAATGTGTGTCCTGTTGGAACAAATGTTGCAAATTAAATGCTTGAAATACACTTCTCTCAAAAAGTTAGGAACATTTAGCTTTCTGTCACATGGGGAAAGATGCAGGAGTGCAAAACATTTAAATCATACAAAAAAATAATACTTTAATGAGGTCTCAAGGTGAAAAACAAATGTAAAATCCAAAACTGAACTTAGTAACTGGGACTGTTTATAAACTCAATGTAATTCCAGCTTTTCTGTGATGACCTCAAAGATGCAAAGAGAATATTCATAGTTCAGAGTTGAAATAAAGCCATAAGAGACACATAATGTAGTCTAATGAAACCAGCATTTTTTTATAACTTAAAACGCGGTGTGGTGGGAGACTACTTACTGCTCATCCCTCTATACTCACAGCCAAACATGTCAAACATGTTGGTAGCAGAAAATCCAATCCAATATATTTATATAGCACATTTCATAAACAGTAGAAGACCATCGTGCAGCACTTGTCTGGAGCTTAATCCACAGCTGTGTTGGAAGTCTGCAGAGTTCCTGAGACTGAAGCGAACATTTATCAGGACAATTTCACAAATTTTACTGCTTGAGCAAAAATTGAAGCAAACATTTTTGCTACTGTGTAGACATAACTGCAGGAAAGACACAGGGCTGAATACTTTTGTTTGGCACATTTTCCTTTTACTTCACAATGGTCTGCCACTTAGTGCTGGTCTTTTCAAAAATATTAATGATTATGGTCGCGGCGCATTAGACTATGCCAATAAGAAGGTATTGTAATCATCTCTGTGTGTGTCTGTTTGTCTGTAGGCAATATTAACTACTGGACAGGGTGAGTGTAGATGTGATGAGACTCCATTAAAATCCCAGATGATCCGTGGTGTAGGTGGGGTATGTGCTCTCTGAGTGTACATGAGTAACTAATTGTGTGTCTTTGTTGTTGAAGGGACTCACCATCTCCTGTGTGAGCAGGGTGCTGAGCGAGTGCAGCCGGTCAGAGTGCTGAGCGGCCCGGTCCAGAAGGTCTGCGATGGGGAGAGCTCCAGAGACGGCCACCAAGCACAGCACTGAGGAGCCAGGAGCAGGGCACAGGTACTTCATCTTTCTTGAATGTGTTATACATCACATATACATATATATGTGTATAGATATACATATATATATATGTCTGATATAGAATAAAATGACTAATACATAAATGTTCACGTTGGCTCGCTGTTAGAGCTGCATTAATCGTCATCAATCAAAAATTGCAAAGACTGCAGTTATGTGAGTTCTCTGCAAACAAAGGAAACTGAAGATGAGCAAAAGATCAGTTTGAATTTGTATTTTACCTGAATTTGTACATTTGCAGTATTTATAGACGTTTTCAAACGTAACTGTTATTATTCTAAATTTCAATTTGCCTTTACAGAATAACGGAAATTACAAAGTTGGTCAGAAACGTTTCAATTTAAAAAAAAATCTTACGTTCAAATATTTTTCTAATGATCTGTTTTTGCAAATAAACTTTTATATTATTGCCTGATGTGAATTGAAAGTTTTCTATTATTGAGCTCCAAATAAAGGATTTCCATCGTAATAAATGGAATAACATGTCTTACCGGTCATGAAGAGTTTGCGTCCCTTGCTTCTGTCCATGTCTGTATCTTCAAGACTTGTCTCTTGGAGGATCATGGTGTCTCTGTTTTATAGTCGCTCAGTCCGTTTGTTTACGCAGCAGCGAGGTGAGAATGCTCTAGTTTGGAACTCGTTTGGTCCAGTTCGTAATGAGAAACATAGTGAAGTAGCTTTGAATGAATGTAAAAGACTACAGCAGCTGGATGTGTGCGTCAGGGCTCTGGAGAGTCGTGGAAGTGGAAAAGATCCTAATTGGATAATGAATGAATGGATGAGACAGGGCTTTAGTTAATGTTTCTGATAATACTCAAATTCCCTTATCATCTGGCCACGCATCATTCATCACATCCAGAGGCGTCCCGTGCCAACAGGCAAGGCAGGCAGCTGCCTGGGGCCCCCAAACCGGCAGGGGGCCCCCGAGGGCCGACTGATTTGATACAAGCGGTCGACTTGTACAGGCTACAACAGCGACCTGCAGTGATGAGTTGACGGTTAAAACTTTTCGTCTGATGCGAAACTTGCCACGTTTTTCATGAACATATAAAAACCTTTTCTGGGGCAGGCTCTGTATTGAATATAATGGTGGTCTAGAGGTTTAAGATGCAGCGTAACGCGGTGGCCTGGGTTTGAATCTAGATGAGTGCAGTACTTTGGATTAAACTTTATGGTATATTCTATCACAGATTGCTCAAGAACGGTAAAAGGTAAACCCAAGCCGTTTTTTGCAGATTAAAGCTAAGAGCCTAATCTTTAATTTAGACTATAAAAACACTGAGGGCCAAATGAAAGATTAGATTTTGTAAGATTAATACACTTTGATAGGTAGTTTTTGTAATTAATTATAACATGATGAGTGTAGTGAACAAGCTTATAAAAAGACATGCTAGATTATTTCTCATTGCTTTGTGTCACGATAAATGCTGAAGTATTCACAACAGTCTATGGTAGACTGTACAGTTGGCTAGGCAGGCCCCAGGCCTATCCATTTATTGTTAAAAATAAGAAATTATCTACATTTAATTTATATTAATGTAAACAAGTAATAGATATTGCATTTTTACCTTATCATGAAATATATGTATATATATGTATATACCTACTGTAATATAAACCTTTTTATCTGGTTATGTGGTCGGGTACAAGGGCCCCGGGGTACCCTTGGAACGCCACTGATCACATGGTGTGGATTAGACCTCAGAGGACCATCTATGATAAATAAAGTTACTACATTTGAACCAATGGTTGACAAAACTTCAGAGGCATTTGATTCAATGGAGACCTCTAGTGGAGAGGTGGTTCATATCTTACAGGGTAAGTAATCATCAGGGATTATAGAAGTAGTGGAGTTCATTTAACAAAACACATTGATTTAAAATTGCATAATTTGTTTAATTTTAACAATGATTTAAACTCCCATGAGCCTTGAGTTAATTGGAGCTTGTGTTTCACCATGTGGCACCAAAACTGCTCTGAGAATCATAACAAATATGATAAATGCATTTATAAAAATCCAATGTAATTAATTATTCTTAGAATTTGTGATGAGTAAAATAATCAATAACTGCAGGCCTTGGAAACAATTATATAATTAATATGTTTAGATTAGTTAAGCCCCCCCCCCCCTAATATTTGATAATAAAATCCAATGAAGTCGACATTATCCAAAGTTGTAGTGTGTAAATATGCTTCTTTGATGCTCACTGGTCTCATGCATGAGTAGTACCTGTGTTTGTCCTGCTGCATCAGTAGCGAGTGATTATTTTATTTGATAAAAGTATAAAAGTCTTATATCTCCTAAACTATTAATAACATATTTCTTAAAAAAGGTAAACTGCGTGAACTATGTTTTAATAATAGTTACTGACGGCTTCTAGACAAAAAACATTAAAATGATAATGTTTTTTACATGTTTGCATCATAAATAGCTGTGTGTAGTAATAGATCGAGAGTGTGTTGAAGAGAGTAAATAGTTGTAGTGGATTGGTCACGATCGGTCACTTAATGATTGCAGCTCTATTTGAGTGCACACTCTTCTGGCCGTGTTCCAGCAGCCGCATGTCTGTTACATGTGTATGTGACCGAGTGCACATGCTCCGCTCTGCTCCATGTTTGACCTCCTGTGACTTTGAAGACTCCTCTGCTGTTGTCCCAGCTCTACGGGGCTGATTATGAAACATCCTGAGACACACACACTTTAGCTCCCATTTTGGGAACTTGTTGTTCTAAAAACACCACCGGGGCTGTTCCTTCTTAAACTAAAACAAAAAGGTGTGTATTTTGGTGACAGGCTGTGCCTAATGAGGACCTGGAGGGCCTTCAAGTCCTGAGCAGAGACGTGTACAACAGGAGACAATAAATGTATTGTTGGAATCACATATGAAGAAGGCTGAGTCACCCTCTGCAGCATTAAAGAGACAGGCTCCATACATGACACACGTGTGTCAGCCCGCCCCCTTCTTCTCTTATTCTGTTGGGACCTATCATACTTTCTTAAAGAGAAGCCTTTTTGGACTATTGCTTACTCTTCTTTCTCCCTTTCTTTTCTTTACCCTCCTCCTCTCTGAGCACTGGCTCAGCCCCTGCCACAGTGAGCTCGTATGTACACATGCACAGTGCACACAACATAAAGAATTTACACACACCCCTTCACTCAGTCGCTGCAGCGCACCAGCTCCAGGACCCTCAGCTCTCTCCTTCACTCTTTGCCTTCACTTCTTCACTAAAGCAGGCTAACTCCGGAGTGGGACCCTCTGTCTGCAGATTGGTGAGGGCTCACGGATTTCTCTTTGGGTTTTTTTTTTTTATAAGACGAGCTTCTATAGAGGGAGTGTTTCTTTAAGTACACCGTGTTCTATTTCCATGTGCTCTGCTCAACCAGACGTTTAAGGGTTTCCCCCATGGAGTCCCTCTGTTCACTCCAGCTCAACCAACTTTAAAAGTTTGTCATCAACTGATTGCATGCAAATACATAAAGCTGAACAAACATTTTATATTTTCAGTTTTATTGAAAATATAGTTATTGAAGTTATACATCTTTTTCCCATCTGAGAACTGAATAGAGCAGTGCTATGATAGTTAAGTTTACCTTAACAACAATTGTTAAGGTAAAAAGTGTGACTCGCTCACAAATGATAATTTCCTGTGTGTCTGACCTTGTCGTCCCTGTCAGGACTGTTGCTGTCTTTCACATTGAAGGATTCACATCGCGGATGTATTTTGTTCAGCCAAACCCTCAGGGATTATATACTTTTTGAGAAGTTTAATAGACTTTACTGTGTTGCAACTATTTAATATGTAGTTGGTATTAAAAATAAAAGTAAAGTTACCATTGTTTCACATTATGTAACACACAGGGGCTTTGTGTCCCTCGTTTGAGGTCTGAGATGCAGTTTGCCTGCATAATTGAATTGAGTTACTCCAATTGCATCTCAGTCCAGTGCATTCACCTGCACTGGACTGAGATGTCTTCTAGCATTCTACCACTAGATGGCCCTAGACCACAGTTGAAAGAAGTGAGAGAGGGTTTGACCACATACTATTGAGCACATGCATGTGTATGTGTGTTTTACAGATTCTCATTCTGAAAAGATCCTATTTTGGTTATTTTTCTGCCTGGTTGTTATTATTAATATTATTATTATTATATAGTTAAAAAATTAAAATTATAATTGTCCTCCTATGTCTTTTTAGGATATTTTTTATCAGTCAATTCATCAATCTTTCACTAAGCTCATTCACAGCCCATATTTCTATAGGACTTGCTCCACCTATGGGTCAGTGAACCTTCACCCACAAGCCCTTCCCCCTTACTGTGTACACACATGTGCGGCCCCCTCACATGTTTGCCCCTCCCACCTCATGTGCGCCCCTCCCCTCTGCACCGGCATGCCTTCATTTACTCTCTGTCTCTATAGGAGTTGGGAAGAGTGCCACTGGACCGGACTGGACACAGACTAACCTCACACCTCAGACATGTCAGACTCCGAGAGCGCTGCTGCCCCTGCTGAGGCACCTGTCCCTGCTGCTTGTGCTGCTGCAAAGGCCGACCTGGACAAATGGTAAGTGCCTGACCCCCTCTGTCACCCAAACCCCAAGTGCATGATTGTGAAAGTGTGCAAAAGTCTCCTTATGCACATTCATTCATTCATACAGCCTTGTAGAGGTGAGTATTGTGCAATATGGAGTGAAATAAAGAGGATGGCAGTTTAAACATTCCAACACACAATTCTACTTCTGTTTTAAAAATGATATTAACTTTATATTCATGCAATAATTAAACAATATATTTCAACACTTTGAGATGTTTAATGGATTGTATTCAAAATTTTAGCAACAAAATTGGACAAGTGACCAGACGAAAATGATTGCTTCCACAATTTCCACTACTTCCACCAAAGGCTTTCTCAAAACAAAGCATGTTCATGTCTGTGAACCTGACCATGGTAAAAGCATCAAAATGGAGTCGAGCGATTGCAGCGAACGGCGATGAGACGACCGCAAAATCACAACAAACACAGTTGGACGCTTTGCAAAAACCCTATTAGAATAAGAGTTCCTCATTGTATTGAGGTCGGACATAATTAAGTATGAATTGGAGTGATGTTTGGCTCTCATCCTTATGCCTGGATGAAGGTTTGGAATCTGCTTGCGTCACATTTTCCCAGAGTGCCTTGCGTTACCCTTGCTGTGTCAATGGAGTGCACTCTGCAGGGGATTTGGAGCATCTACGTAGCAGGCATGTCTGTACTTGCTTAGTCATACATACATGTTTCTGTTTCTACAAACCAGGGCACTTTGGATCATTCTTTTGAAATGCCCCAGTTCTGCACCAATTACATCCAGGTCAAAACACATAACTCCCAGTGTCTTAATTAGAATGTACTTGTAATTAGGACGGAGAGCATTGAGGGACATTCCGCCAAACCTGGAGACCACAGGACCACACGTCTTGGATCATGCAGCTGGAATAATGGATATTTTTTACACGTTACTTTTACTGTAGCGTGTGAACCACCCTGATCAAGTAAAGTTAGACTGTGACGATGTGATAAGGTGAAAGTGAATTTGTGTTTTTTTTGATAAGCACAATCATATGTAAAAGTGATGGGCAGGACTTGGCCATGCGTGGACTAGTTCCAGTGTGCTCTTTAAGGCGTTTAAGCTCATGGCCTTTAATGGGATTACGGTTAAAGCAATACTTTGCCACTTTGTACTACTTGAGTGGAGTCAGCATATTGCTTTTTTATATTGAGAACACTGACAAAGGTTAGTTGTCCATTTGTGTTATCTATAGGGTCTTTGAAAAGAGAGAACAAAAGGGTGAGGACGATAAGACTAGCGCTTATATAACTTTGCATTGGAAAAGTCTGTAAAACCATGAACTGTGACCTTGGGGGATTGAAAGCCGCATGGCAACAACCACCAAGTTCAGCCGGCATGCGATAATCTGTCGTGTTGAAGGCGAGGAGATCTTTAACCTTGAACGGTAAAGGCCATAATACCCAGGAATATCGTTAAGGCCCATTAGCTGGTTATGATAGCTTAATGTGTGTGTAGAGTGAACACACCTTATCAGCTAAACCAGTCTGCTGGTTTAGCTGGTCCTGAGGTCAAACATTTACACCCTGACAGAGTTGCAGAGTTTTAAACACTGTTGAAGAATACCTTTTGAGTATTTAAAGACGCTGTTCGTTCAGTTACCATTGATAACCTTCATGTTGCACTGTTGACCTCTACTTACCATTTACAGTTTGACATTTTTGTTTGTGAGTTATTGTTCCCAGAGTCTGATCAAGTGTCCATAGCTCAGCACCTTGTTAACTTCTGCCTTTGCTCAGTATGGGACCAGATTAGAGATGACAATATCAGCTGCTCACAGTGATGACTGTGAAGCTTTCAAGTCTAGACCTTCCACCTGATTGCCTTGTATTCTGCTGCTAACTTAAAAGATGGGTGACTGTAATGCACACCACAACCCGCACGTATTTATAGCTGGCATCTTTTAAAAGTCATGGGCTGTAGTAGAGCGCTTGTATGTGACATGTGTCCTGCTGTATGGCTCACATTACTGCTACACCTGACACCTGCTGCTTGACCAGCACAAAAAATAGTTCAAGCTCAAAGAGTCGGCCATCTTGGATCATGATTTTCATGTAATTGTTGTTGCCTAATAATTGACATTGCGCAAACAGACTCTTTATGCAACCTTCTAGATATGTATTCATTTTTGTACTTTTGGTTTAGTTTGACAGAAGCAGGAAGTTGTGACTTTGTGAAGGTCAAACATTCAAAGTCACCTTAAACAGATAAGGCACAGAGTGTAAATATACAGCCTGTTTGTCCTTTAAATACTGCACATGTGTATCCCAGACATGATACAGACATACACTCTTCCCATCTTTGCATTAAAGTATACTTTTATACAAGACGAGCCGCCTTTAACTACATGGCCTTTGGCGAGCGCAAGGTGAGAATATATTTCAACTTGTATTACCTACACTTATAGTGAAAAGTTATCTAAGGGCTAATATTTACCAGAGTGCACTTTGAGCCTTCACTGTTCCCTATCCTTTCTATGCACACTACACCGGTTGGATGCAGACAGTTACTCTTTGCTATAGTTGTATATGTGCAGACAGGCTTTTGCATTCTTGCCTGTGGAAGCCGTGCTGGTTTCCACAGAGGAATCCAGTGACTCGACAGAAGACAGTAATAGGAGCAGAGTCCTGAAGCGACATGTGTCACTGAGGCAGTGAAGACCAAATCAAATGGAACATCCTTAGGATTATAGTAACGACATCATGTCAGCAGGTTTTTGAATCCTCTTTTACTGCTGCACCTGCTAATCAATCTATAATGCATGATGCAGGCACCAGCTTGCTCTACCATAATGAAATGGTCACTTCCTGTATACTGTAAGTCTCAGATGGAGAATGATGTCATCTCACTTTGTAACACCCTCGACAAGAACAGGAATTAGATCTATGGCTCAAACATATAAGTTGATACCTCAACCCGCTTTCCCCTTTGACCCTGTAACATGATCCTGATTTCATTGTGGCTACAGGAGATGATGTCATTTGGAGGTTGTTTATCTGCGTAAAACCTAAGGATAAAGGATGCTCTATATTGTCATCAAGCTGAAAGCTGCATATTAAATTCAAAATGAAAATCTTCTTGGTGCTGTCTTCAGTTTGGCTATGACTATGCCCATATATTAATTTCCTCTGCTTTTCCCTGGAGGCATGACTTCTCATGCGTTTGCACATATGGACACAATAGTGACATAAAATGTCCCATTGACTCCCACTGTCACACATCCTTTGCCAGTGTGCACGGAGCAGAGTGCTCTTCATTCCCTCTGGCTCTGACTGATAATCTGCTGGAGCCAGCTGTCTGTTACATCACACACCAGCATCTAGTCACTAGTTGCACAGACTGCAGTGATATTTCTTATTCTTATATAGTATTTAACAACAGTCACTCACGACTTCATGGCCATGTGCACATGTGCTGTGGCTCCATACAACATTGCTATGTCGTAATTCAGTTGTTCCCAAAATGACCCTGCAGCGGTTCTACTTTGGTGCTGCTGAGATTGGATTAAACAGTATTTTCATCTGTACATACTGTGCATCAATAAAATCTCACTGTGCAGGAGAGAGTGGGGAAGCCATACAGGCTTATTTGACGTCCTTCCCTAAGACAATCCTGCAAATATGTGTATGTACTATAAATGCATACACATGTTGTTCAATTGTCACTTAAAGGGACCCATTTCAGAGAGCCACTGCACTTAACTGTTTTAGACGCATCTACAATTGAATACACAAAAGCACATTTTTACCAAATCATAATATAAATTGAGCAGAGAAAAGGGCCCAAAACAGATCCCTGAGGAACCCCACATTCTAATTGGGCTCTATTTCAGCGGGTTGTTAATGAAGACAAACTGTTGTATCGATTTTATCTAGAAAGTGTCTATTTTAATTGTTGAAAGAAATATTAATATTTTCCTCTCAGATAGATGTTTGATCATACATATGTTACGCAAAACATGTGAATTTGGCCCTTTGCCAATAATTAGACTAAAAGCATGTCCAATGGAGCAGTTCAGATTTGTAGAAAGAATTGTTATCTTAATGAACGTTAAAGGCTACTTATTTATGCTCTTGAAATTGACATGGATAATTGTCTATTTGGTTTCAGAGGCCCAAATATGAGTAGAATCACATTTGTCACATATCACAATGGCTGTAATCTAATCACCCGTCTTAGTTTAAGCACTTTCACTTGACGACTGTCGGATCCCTCTGGTTCCTCTGTGTCCTGTCATGTCAACACTGTCACGCACCTCTGTCCCGGTCGTTCTGTAAAGACGTACAAACAGATGGGTCCAGCCCCCTCCTCCTCCACTGCTCTTCCGCTCCATCACTCTAATGCACCACAACACTGTGTTCACTGCTGCGGAGGCCTGACATAATCTGGGCTCTATTCTCTGCACCACATCCCCTTGTACTCGCATTCATTTTCATTCATCATTTAAATATAGATTCCTATGGTGCGCCTGTAGCCCAGAGGGTGGTATTATTTGTATGAAATTTATTATCACCAACCTTCATGTCAATGTACTTTGGGAATTCAAGAGCACATATGTATTTGTTGGCGATTGGACACATTATTTAACAATAGTTTATATTTTTGCTATGTTGCCTTTTTCACCTTTGTTCTGACATCGCAAAACCTTAAGATTAAGAGATTCTGTATGAGATAAATTGACAATAACTCTAGCCTGAAATAAAAATGAAAACTACTCATATCTAAAATCTACAATAAATCTCTAACTCTAGCATAAAAAGAAGCAGTATAAAATCTCTATCTTTAGTATAATAAGGAAAGAAGTCTTAAAATCTCCAACTTTAGCATAATGGAGAAGCAAGATTTAAGTACAAAAACCCCCGACTTTAGCTTAATAAGGAGCAAGTATAAAATTCAGTATATTCTAGTG